TCTCAGAGCAGACGCCGCATCAGCACCAACTACAGGAGGACGTGCCGGGAGAGTACAGAGACAGGCCCTGTGGTGAGGGCCAGGCACAGCGCACCAGAGCAGAGGCCAGCCCGGCTGCAGCCCAGACAACAAGTGGGAGCCTCACGGCCACGGCCCAGACAGCAAGCAGGAGCCTCACGGCCACGGCCCAGAGAGCGAGCGGGAGCCCACACGGCCACAACCCCGACAACAAGCAGGAGCCCACACGGCCACGGCCCAGAGAATGAGTGGGAGCCCGCACAGGCCCGGAGTTTTCTGTCTCAGATAAATGGGAGCCGCGAGGCCCCCCGGCCGGCAGAGGCTGCTCCTAGGCTCCTGGCTCGCACAGACGGTATCACCAGGCTGAGGAGTGAACACCAGGCCTGGAGGAGAGCGCGGGCTAACCCTGGATAAGCAGCTTTAATTTAAAATGATTGTGAAAGGACTGGCATTGTGGCTTAGCGGGTAAAGCAGCCCCCTGCGATGCCTGCATCCCATCTGGGTGTCAGTTCAAGTCCCGGCTGCTCCACTTCCGATCCAGCTCCCTGCTGTGGCCTGGGAAAGCAGTGGAAGATGCCCCAAGTGCTTGGGCCCCTGCACCCATGCAGGAGACCCAGATGGAGCTCCTGGCCACTGCAGCCATCCGCTGAGTGAACCAGTGGAGGCAAGAGTTCTGTCTGTCCCTCTCTAATAAACCTACAACAAGAAGGTGACTGGACACTCGATACCACGTTTCTGAGCTCAGCGTCCTGACACAGCCGCGTTCCCAGGCTTAGGACGGTCCACACAACGGCACAGCAGAGCAAGGGCACGGCGTGAGGCTGGGCCCCACAGTGCCGCACCTCCACCGGATCCCACTGCATCAGTGTACACACACACAGGCCACCGTCCATCTGTTACTCCTTGGATAGCCAACAGTTTTGATATGGACTGCAATACTTATAAAATACAAATAGGACCATGTTCAACATTCTGTTCTGACCACCGCTTTTGAAAATGGGCAACATAGCAACCACGCAGGGTCCCCCAGGCAGGGAGGGGGAGCCTGCACTCGCCCCGCCCTGCCGCTCTGCTCACGGAGCTCATGGAGCCCAGCCCCAAGCCCAGCCCCAGCCCCAGCCCCAGGAAGTGGCTCATGCCTGGCTGAGGCTGGCTGGGACCCTCCAGGGGCAGCTGCGCCTTCTGGTCTGGCTAAGGAGCCTAGAGAAGCCACGGTGAGAACCGCGCAGGCCCCGGCCTTCCTGAAGCAGACCCAACCCTGCGCTCCCGTGCCTGTGACGAGGATGGCGGCCGGGGTTCCAGGGATCTAAGTCCACACTGGGACAGCAGCAGAGAGCCTGGCCTGAACCAGACACACACGCACTGCCGCCTTCGCAGGAAGCCTGGCACAGAGCAGGCGGGCTGCGACCAAGGCGTGCCGGCAGCTCCGAGCGTGTACACAGTGCAGGGCCCAGAAGCGCTCGCAGGCCCCCAGGCCCCCGCTGCTCCCTAGGGGCCGTCCTCTGGGCACCCCACCTCCTGGAGTTCTCTGCCCCCTTCTGCCTGCCCTGGAAATGTGCCGCGTCTACAAGCACATTGTGCACAAGCTGGGAGATGTCTCACATGCGCAAGCTCTCACGCTCCGAAAGCCCACGAATAAAAATGACCTCAGAAACGAAACTTCCAGAAGCAGCGAGAAGTTGCCTTTCACGGCCGAGGGCTCCTCAGGCCACGCAACACCAGCAAGTTTCTGCGGCTGTGCTCTGGTGTGCTGGGCTCAGCTTGGTAGCTTCTCATGTTCCGGCAAAATTATGAAGTGCTAGAACTCCTAAAATTCACCAGCTTGCAGCTCCGCTTACCTCTTAAACTCTTGAAACACCAGCTTTAAGCGATTTCACGCATAATCCGAACTGTGCACCGTCCACGTGTATGCCTCGAAACCCACAGCAGCTCACGTGTGCTGCTCCTGCTGTTTCCAGGGGCTCCACCCCATCCGCCTGCCAGCTGCTCAGACAGACCCTGGGGCAACGGCGCTCACCGGAGCAGAGCCACGCCGCGCCCGGCGCCCACCAGGCTCAGCAGTGCAAATTCCCACACTGCAATTCTTCATCACCACCTGCAGGTCTTCCATTTCCTTAACCAAAGAAAACGGAACAGTTTCCCCCAACGGAACAAAGGGCAGCGTCACAGCCAGCCACACCAGCTGTCACCGGCCTGACGGTAGGACCGCCAGGGCCAGGCCCCGTCTCGTGGCCACACACCTGCGACAGCCGCAGGACCACTCCCAGGACACACCCGCCACCTCCATGTCCCGGGCACGTGTGGATGGCTCTGACGGTGCAGCGCGGTGCAGAGCCTGTTCCCCGGGTCCAGCTCTCCCGCTCAGCACGCCTCCCTGTGTGCCGGCACCACTCAGACAGGGTCCCGCGTCCCCAGTGCAGAGGTCCCTTTCTTCCCAGCACAGGGACCTGCGCTCACTCTCACTGCCACAGAGCGGCAGCCAGAACCTGCAGACCAGTGAACATGCAAATCACAGCCAACAAACCACTCAACGTTGTCATTTTTTATTGCATTTGTCAACACTCCATCACTATTGTGAGGCTGAGGCTAGGAAACCCTGGCACTGCAGACCTGGTATCCCTAGCAAACTCCACTGCCCGCAATGGTACTGAACACAACCCCAACAGCCAGCACGCCGCGCTGCTTCCACTGTTCTCACCTGGAACCTCAGCTGCTACGGAACTAACAAGCGCGAGTGCGGAACACAGAGCACACATCCGGATTCTTCACAGAAGAAATGAGTGGCCGTGGGATCTCCCACCAGCGTCAGCTGGGCTGCTCCCCCCACATCGCACCATCGCCCACATCTTCTCAGCGTCCTCACCAGCCTCTAAGTGCGTGAACAGGGATGCGTGGAGGCCAACACTGCTCCAGTGAACCCTGGACTTGTCCTCTGCTGCTGTGCATCGCCGGGACAAGGACAAGATGCAGCTCATGAAGCCCGCGCACTGGTGTTGTGCCGACCAGACCAAGTAACACAGCCTGCGGCCACTCTGCCCGTGAACTTTAGTCCGCTCAGCACACGCCCTGATCCAGTCCCTGTAACTACTTTATTACAGGCCTACACGTGGGCGGCAGCTGTGACACGGGTCCCTGTGCCGCTGACCTGTCGAGACGCAGTTTTGCGTGCGCGGAGACTTGCAAGCTCGTCCTCCAAGCTCCCGGCTGCGCTGCGACTGGCTTCACTCTGCAGCCCCTTTCACCCAAGGCGCGCTGCCCGGCGCATCTCGGGGCGGCCTGGCTTCCGGGAAGTTCTCGGCAAACCTCTCTCGTGCTTTGTCCCAGTTCTTTCTGCTCTTGTT